TGTGTGTGTATGTGTGTGTATATATATATATATATGTATGTGAGCCATGTAACGACCGTGATCGGACATACATACGTGCGTGTAGACAGCCCCACCAGGTTATCGACCCCTCACGACCAAAGATCTGACGTGGAGAGTTTCCGCTGTGCCTTTTGTCTTCTGCCCTTTGAGGACGACTGGAAAAGAGCCCGGTTTTTTACGGCGTGATTTAAACGCTCGTGTGAACGCTGTGGGCGATAAAGGGGGCGGGAACTCCGGATTTAACATCCATCTCTGAGAATCCTGATCGTGCCCAGTTGGTCGAACGCTTTGTAGAGTCCTCAAGTCATGCACGTTCAAAGACCGCTCGTTCACGAACCAAAGTCATTCTCACAATAGTTCAGAGGTGTACCGGGCTAAAGCACAGAAGTAAATGACTTGGCATGACGGTTAGACAAATCTACATAATCTGACAACTTAGGAGGGACCTGAATTTTTGCACAAGTTCCTGAAGAATCTGAGCGTTCTAGATATAGATACGTGTTTGTTTTAGTTCGCGTCTGCTCCCAATTTGCTTAATAACGAATGCATTTGGGGTTGTCTCTATTGTAGTTTGGTCCTTCTTTCCTCTCAAACAACTGCTATCGTCCTCATCTCTCCTCCTTCTTTCCTTTGTTTGTTACTCTCTATAGAGCAGTCAAAAGTTCGTGGTGTAACTTATTGTTAAATAATATTTCTTGAACTATCGAACACAGACTCCCCAGATTACGTACAATAACTTGTATACATTTTTCTTTACAGATCAACATTTTTGAAAACACCTGTTAGCTGTATACTAGAAAATTTTAAAATAAATACTAATAAAAAATTCAAGTGGGTGTTTTCTACAGATTTTAAAATGTTTACAGCTGGGGCAATATCACTTTTCTAAGCACGACATTGTATTTATTGAACGCAGGTTTGAGAACCTCTTGTGAAAAAGTGTGTTCCCAGAAAAAAACATTTTTGTAACTGGGTTCGCCACTAAAAATTACATCGGTGAGCTGTGACGTAGACCACATGCGTAGGCAAAATGTGTGTGAGAAGCGGGAAGTGCTGTGAACAATCCCATTTTCCGCGTGAAGGGGATTTATAGTATTTTATATAAATTTATGAAGAAAAGTTTCAAAAATCTAACCTCACTTGCAAGTGCCGTAAAACTCCCACTGCCACTCACACAAAGTCTGTGTCCAGGTTCCTCCGCGGAAGACGAGCAGAGTGGTCAAATGTCGGACACAGCAGACACAAGATGGTGGCGCGCTGTTCCTCACACAGCCAGAAGTGACACGGGAAGGCTCCATCCTCAGACTGAGCACGCCCTCTCCGCCGCCTGATGAAGATGACCTGGATCAGGACGTGGGTGAGTACACAACCATATCGATTTTGGACCAACAAGGGATCTTTAACGTGCACAACTTGCACTCGGGACCTTCGAGATTTTTCGCTCTTATCTGAGAAGGGTAGGTGTAGATCTTAATGACCATAAGATCGAGGGTGTGGCAGAAAGACAGCAGTAAGAATGAACCAAGGAGTAGCCGTAGAAAGGCTGCAGTAAGAGTCAGGAGCAAAGGAGGTGAGGGGGTGGCTTCTTACGAAAGCGGACAACAGAACATTGTTAGAGAGCAGGAAAGCATGTGAAAGGAGAACATTTTTAGAGAATTAAATTTTCCGTCGCTATCCAGATTCGACTGCTGAATCTATTGATTGAGGGGCGAACACCTTAACCTCTAGGCCGCGAG